ACTTCCTTAAATACATGTACATTACACAGGTCAGCTGTGCATTGTATTCCTTTACTCCCTGTACCCACACAAAGCTTTTTTCATCTTGTTTGTTGGTTAATTGAGCAATTGATTTATTACACACTGAATGGAAAGCCAGGTATATTTCAAAACTCATACTTGAAATCGATCTTTGAGATAAAGCACCCAGTCACATCCAGCTGCCATCCCCTTCAGTCTCAGGAGCTCCTTAACTCCAGGAGAACTGGGTTCTTTTCCTTGTATTCAGGAATGGAATTAACCCACTTGTTTAGCAGATATTTGTCTTCATTTATCAATGAAAAGCTAAACATTATTTCAAGATATTAATATTTGTCAGTTGCAAATCTCAGTTAAATGAATCACAGTTTATTCATCTGAAATCTGAAATCCTTAATCAACCATACTGCTGTTATTTTCCATTGGAGTATTGCCTGCAAAAATCTTCAGCTTCATTCATCATCATTATTAAGTACATGTTGAGTCTAAAAAGATGAGTAATGATAGATGTCATAGGATACGCAAAATTGGTTTAAAACATAACATGCCCAATCCTGTCTAGCATTTGTCACAAAATAGATTTTGGACGCACAAATACTGGCTATATTCAGAGTTCTTTCCTTGTATTATTTTAAAAAACAACACTTGTAATGCTGAAATCGGAAGTCATTGGGTAATTATGATTGACATAACAAGTAAATCTACTTTGCAAGTATTACTCGTACAACTTATGATCCTAGGAACATTCTCATTTGAGACTTCGAAGGAAGTTTCCTTTGCAAGAGGAAGTTGTTAATTCAATCAAACCCAGAATTTTATCCAGCACTAAACTCATATTTGTACTTTCTACAGATATTCTGTTTACATTTTCATTATAAATCCCAGTTAAATCTCAGAAGTGGTATTATTTGTTTCAGCAGATTTTTCAAAGACTTTGGAAGCCATTCCCATAGTATATAGTTATGAACTGAGAAACATTCTTCTACCAAAACAGTTTGTACATTGTATTTGAGGGTTAGTCCTGTCCTTCAAAACAAGTCTATAAAAATTCTTCTTAACCTAGTAACAGTAAAATGTGACTTAGCCAGAAAAAACAAAAAGAGAACCTCAATTTTTGAATTTTAATTCTGATTTCTGTTCTGAAGAGTGAAGAAATAAATGGAGAAATTACATAAGAAATTTAATGTAATTTCTGGGGCATATTTTAGTGTAGATTCAATGCAATACACTATCCCTAGGATATCAGCAGTTTGATATAATGAGAAGTTATTGTTAATAATTGTGGCCCTTAGATCACACAAGATCCACAGTCATCAAGGAAAGACTTAATGATGTTTTCTATAGTGTGCTTACCAAGACAGAATAAACTTCTTAGATATCTGAGAATGTTTTAAATAATGATTGAGATAAAAATATATTCTGCTGATCCCTGACCCATGGGACATTCAGAACACCCCATTTCTTGAGC